AAAGAAGTCAGCTTCTAGATTATAAACTCTAGAATGAAATGTTAAGACTGTAAGGAGGTGGAAACACATGGTGGTAGCAACGCAGAGTGCTGGTGGACGGGACTGGAGGGACTATCTTAAGGATGAGAGACGTGCTGGGGACTTTGAGCACAACAGTGCCCAAGGCTGCCTTTACTGCCCGTGAAAACCTCAGTCAGCAAAGCAGAGAACAGCAGTCGCCTCTACCATTTGTTGAATTTGGGGCTCTGTTGTTAACATAAAGAAATAGGGGTCCCCAGAAAGCAAGAATTGTACCCTGAATCTGCTGATAGAAAAAAGGGACCAAAAGAGCTATGAATTCAGCAACATGTAAATTAATTTGTCTTTTATTAATGTTCATACTCTGCCTATATATAAAGATTATTTGCAACACAGTATTTCATCCATGAGCAAAGTGTGGTGCACACAGGGATTTCCAGGGAATTTCAGTCCCCAGGGGCCCAGAGCTCATGACTTAGGAATTCTTGAATTACCTTTCAGGGGGCTTCCAGCTCTGAAACGTTATGAATCTAGGCTCCTAACAATAATTTTTAAAGCAGAAATTGCATTCAATGCATAAGCTTCTGGAGGACAGGGAAGTATGCAATGTATCTTTGAAAGATGTCCATTAAAGTTTGTGAGGATAAAGTTTCACTGACAGTGGAGTCCAATTATCTGTACTGTTTGCTTGTAGGGGATCTCTTCTCTGTTCCACAGTGAGGTATAATGCTTAACCTAATGGTGAACCAAAGAGCTCGTGGGCCAGTACCTCCAAACTTCCTCTTTCTGGCAAACCCTATTATTTGTCACATTAGAAAGCAGAAAAAGTAGTTATTCCTAATTTTCTTAAAAGAGTCTATTCCCAAAAGCCTGTCACTGAATTTTGAGCTGAAATTGAGCTGAAGTCAAGTTTGGTCAAAGGAAAGGGGTTTAAAAATCTGATTTCCAGGCTTTCAAGAAAATAGGTCCCAGAGTCAGGTATGGTCTTTTCCTCTAAAAAGGCATTGACGGGAGTCTCATTAAAGATGTTTTGAGATGAAAAAGAAATCATAAGTTTAAATGAGGTCAGAGAAATTGGCTAGCCAAGAATGGTATGGCAGAGTTTATTGCCAGATTATAAGACCCTCTCAACCCGTATCACACGGCTCCATGTCTGTGACAAGATTATTTTTAGCTGTTTTTTTATCCATATTTCGGCTAGACTTATTCAGTATTTGTTATTTATTTTTGGTTCACTTGAATTTATAAATGCCCCCCCAAATCACAATATTCTATTGGCCTACCTATGTGTACATACGTAGATATGTGGACATTGCTGAAATTTCCTGTAAGAAGACATGAGCAATATTGAACCTCTATTTCCTTCTAAAAATAATAAACAATCTTGAATTTATACTCTACACTATATTAAGTTTTAGCTTCAGTTTTTTAAGGGCAACAGAGGTACAACCTTAGTCCCCTGGGTAATTTTTTAGTAGAATTTTCAATATAATAAATCCATCCAGAAACACGCTGTCCCTCCAACTCCCACTATTCTAAAGTCACGAATGCAATACAAATTCAGGACTTCGATTCTGCCGGAACCTGCTGATTTCTAATCTATATTGAGATTTTTTTTTTTTTCCCCAAGATGTACTTAATTCTGCAGGGTTCGGATACCCAGGGGCAGCTTAAGTCTGAATGAAACATTGACTGTTGTCATTCTAAAGGTCTGCCTCTAGCTAGAGTCATTCTGGGACAGCTAACAGAAGACTGTTTTCACGGCTCTGCCTCTCTACCCACAGGAAAAAGGAATTTTTTATTTAGGTATTTACTTTTGCTTGAATATCCATTTTCCCTCTATTTATCACCACATCAGAAGAATTCTTTGGTTAAAAAAAAAAAATGGAGTGAGGGGACGACCATCAGCGCTGTGCCTCTGGCCACCTCATTCATGCCACAGCGATGAGGCCTATTTTCCTACATGCTTCCCATGGCATTGATCATTGCCTCTGCCACTTTGTGCCAAACATGAAGTAACCCTAAAACTGGCCTTGTGGTACAAGCCTCTCCCTACTATCTCTACCTGAAGAATTGTCTTTGCCCCAAAATGGCATGTTGGGCAGGTCACCTGTCACCCTCTTCTGTCTCCTTCACACAGGAAGACGAGCTGGTCTTGCCTCTGGGCCTGGTTCTCTTTGGAGAAATGAGGCATTTGCCCAGCATGACTTTACTCTTACTGGGGTGGGTCCCATGCCTGGATCTAAACACATGGCCATCCCTGCAAATCGGAAGCTGTGCGTGAGGCATTTTGCTTGGCTGCTATAGGAGGTTGACTCCTAAGGAGACCTTGCTGTTTGGGTGCCAGCTGCGGGAATCTTTATGATGCAGACAGGGTGGGCCTTCAGTAGAAAGTCACTGGGAAAAGGCCCTGGTTTTCCCTCGGCTATAATTGATATTTTATTAGAGGCAGAGGCCAAGTGGATGCCATATTCCCTGTGACGTCAGTCAAGCTCAGAGATACATGAAGACATGGGTGTAGTTATCTATGAGTAAAACCCGATAAGTCCCACTAAGTTAGGTAACGATCTTTTTCCATTCTCAGTAACTGGTAGATTCCTCGGATATCGATCGACACGCCTCCCCAAGGATGCCCATCGATGGGGAGGTAGCGTGTCATTTAAGAAAACTAGGTGGAAAGATGCAAATGGGGTCCGTCCAGAAATGGAATTCAGCTCCCAACATATTTGGGGTATTGTTGTCAGCACCCAAAGAAAGGGATTCTCTTAGTGGTGTGCCCACCCATGATTACATGTTCACTTGTCGCCTCTAACCAAGCTAGGTCCTAAGGGTTCTTCCAGTTCAAAACTGGGTGTCTCTCTTTAGCCTGTTTTTATGGTGTGGGGTTTACCTCTAATCCTGGCTGTGAAGAGGAACCCCCATTTCCACTTGAGGCACACCTGGCTGGCACCATTCAGAGCATCAACCAGATATATAGTCTGAAGCAGTTGCCAAGGTATCAGAAAGCTAAGACGTCTAAGCTGGACTGTTCCAGCACTCAGTGAGCCCTCAACAAGTCTGCCCAATTTTATATAAATACTTAGACAGGCATGAAATGGATTTTCTGGATGTCTGGCTTTTTTTTTTTTTTTTTTTTTTTTTCCCTATTGGCTTCTCTCTTCATTTTTGCTGCTGCTTCCTTTTTATTTACTTTTTTCCTTTTTGCTTTCTTTTTTTTTTTCTTTTTTTCTTGGTAATTCTGATCCAACCAGGTAGCAATGCATTTTCCAGGGAGCCTTTTTCAATAGTTTCTTCCCTAGCCTATTTAGTGGAAAGGCAAGCTGTTTCAGCCTGTTAGGGTCAAAAAAAATTTTTTTAACCAAAATTCCCTTGGCATTTTTTTTAAAGTCCAGTGATAATTCCTTGTCTTTGATAGAATCTGCCTCAGGTGGGAATCTCTCAGGTTACAAATGGTAAACTCGGGAAGCTTCCATTTTGCCTCCCTGTTCTGCTAATGAAGAAGCTTCTTGCCCTTCAGGCTGTCCCTCTTTTGCACAAGTTGTCTCCCTTCTGGCCACGTGAAGCCACATGGAAGGAAACATTGACAACAGAGATGTGACCCCATTGCTCTCAAGGCCTGGTCAAAGCCAGCTGACCACAAACTATCTTCCCACACCACCACTGCCCCCAAATATGCTTTCTGGAATCACCCAGCCTTTTGGCTCTGGTCTTTTCTCTTTGAAAGTGGGGGCAAGTTAGTCTGCTGCTCAGGTCTTTGTGGCATGGGTGCTTCTTACACTGTGGTGTCAGCTCTGCTTACTAAAAAACACAGGTTCACACCAGCCAAGAAGAGCTTGTCCGGGCCTTGGAGAGCAAAACCTCACTATAGGGGATAAGGCCCGAGATGGAACTTAATGGCTTCCCTGAAAAATGTTTAAAAATGCATGTGGCTCAATTCCATGTGAGCGTGGCTGCAGTCAAAATACCCCAGACCTGTCAGGAAGCGGGCCTCAGAGAATCTTATGAATAGACTTATTTTGTAAAGTTACTTAAACGCCCAGAAAAACCAACCGAGGGTAACGCCGGCTCCCCGGCCGTTGATTTGGTTGAAATCCCTCCCTCAAATGACCTCAGTTGAGTTTGGCTAGTTACAGGAGTTGTGTTGCTTTTTCCTCCTTTTCTGGAAGAGACATGGAAAACAGGGGCTGTGCAGATGTGGCCCACCGGGGGGAAGCGTTGATCCCGCGGGTGGAAACCGTCCCCAGCTCGCTGCGAGTGCCCCACCGGCTTCTGAATGAAGGCCTTGTTACCTGGCAGTGTTGTCAGTGTGAAGTTTGGCATTAACCTGTGAAGCCCGGGGAAAGAATCGGCCCTTTCACACACAGCTGCCCGTGTCCCGCACACACCCTGAGGTCCGTGTGTGCCCTGCGGCCCCCCAGGAGCCCGCACCCCTCCAGAACTGAGAGGCTTCCCTGCTTCCTGGCTGCCAGGCCTAGTCTACCTTCTCGTCCAGCCCAGCCAAGATCCCAAACGGTGACCAGCCTGCCTACCCTTCAAGGAGTCCACCCCCAATGACATGGGTAATGTCGGGTTCTGTGTGTTTCCAAAAAAAAAAAAAAAAAAAAATGTCCAGCCCATGTTCTCTTCACTCTTGGCCCATGGCCACTTTGCCAGGCTGTTGAGCCTCACCTGATTTATAGGCCTCCTGCCACGGATCCTGATTTCTAGAGTTAGAATGAAAACCAGATCCAGACCCACAGAGGTGAAGGCCAGATGGGCGGGGCCTGTAGGTTTAGCCTCTTTGGGGAAACCCAACCCACCAAGAGGTGCAGACGCATCCCTTTGAACCCCCTGAAGGGAAGGCCCCTGCCAGGCCTGTATTCAGCCTGCAGGGACCAGAGATAGTTAGCGTCATTTCTCAGGGTTAAAAGGTATTGTGGGTTCTCTGTGGCCCAGGCTAAAGGGGGGGGAATAACCTATTTCATTTTATTTTTTTTTTCCAGTTCTCTCAGGCCAGGCACACCACAGCCCTTTGAAACGATCTGTGTCCCTTACCCCACCCATGAATGTGCCAAACCAGCCTCTAGGCCACGGATGGATGTCTCATGAGGACTTACGAGCTAGAGGACCCCAGTGCCTCCCATCCGATCATGCCCCCCTGTCTCCACAAAGCAGTGTAGCCTCTTCAGGAAGTGGTGGGAGTGAACACTTAGAAGATCAGAACACTGCTCGTAACACATTCCAAGAAGAAGGTAGTGGTATGAAAGGTGAGTGACGAACGAGAAACCACTGGGAACAGAATCTGTCCCTTTATTTAGAGTCAGAAGGGTGAAAAGAGAGGTAGGTAGTCAGCGAGAGAGGAGCCCAGCCCCCTCCCCAAGCTCGTGCACTTGACCCAGCCCTTGCAGAGCTCCAGGGTCCACCATGACGGAAGGGGCTCTGATTCCCCTTCCAGGGTATCTTGCCAAAACCTGGGAAGCAGGAACCAGAGCAGGAGAGGTCAACACTCTTTTTTTTTTTTTTTTTTTTAATGCAGTGACTTGCAGGCAATTAAATGAGTCACCGCTACTGCTAGGATCTCCTGTGCACGTACATTGCTCAGCCTGTCCTGTTTGGAAAGGCGCTGAGCTCCTCCAGCCTTCTACCTCATTGGCCGTGGCCAGGGAACTGTCAATAATTCAGCAACACAAACCATAGGCTCTTTCTTTTAAGTCTCTCCTAATGCAGAATGGTAGTCGTGCTTCCTTTCTCTCTCCCTTTTCTTTTGATGTGCAAAGAAACTTTTAAACCCTTTCCTCTGCACCTGTTTAAGGGACGTGAACACAGTACCACTGAGAATCTATGTCAGGGTGTTAAGCCTGAGAACAGATTCGCATACAATGATAAAGGCCTTCTCGTGCAGCATAAATAAATGTACATTGCCCTGTAAATCTAGCCTCCTCTTAAGATACTCATCAGGAGACAGAGATTGCCAAATTACCCTCGACAGGTTCAAAGAGGATACGTGCGTTTTGTATTTTTAGATGCCAAGTTGTTCAAAGTCTGGGAAGTCCTTGGGGAAAGATGCTCATCAGAGACCCAGGAATAACAAATTTAGATGGAGAAACAGTAATTTTCCTTGCTTCTGGGAGTACAATACTGCAGGGGGCTCTGAGAACGGCCCTCTTTGCTGGCATCCAGAGTCCTGAGGACTGGCTGTCTCCAACCTTTCCCTCAAGAAGGATGTGTTGATGTAGGAGTCTCTCCACCAAGTCCCTTCCCCGCCATGGAAGCGTGGCACAGAGAGACACCCATGACCACCCAGGGGCCAGTTGTGTGAGACCACCAGGCTGACGCAGGGAGCCTGTCCATTAGGGGAACAAAGCTGCCGGAAGTTCCTTCCCTGGTGCCTTCCTTGAACATTCCTTTCCCTCAGCAGCAGGCCCGTATGCTCCCCATGCCACCCCCATCCCATGGTGAGTGCCCAGAGTGAGTGGGATGTGTCTTGATGCTTTCTTCCGCTGATACAAGTGGGTCTTTAAAGGTGTTTAACAGACAGCACAAACAATGGCTCATTTTGGCATGGAGGGGATGTGTGTCCTCTTTCTCTTTCACAGTTTTCGAGGGAATGTGTCATAATTTTGGAGACCTAGCAAAACTCATTTCTGAGTTCATGCTATATGGTTCTGTGCTCTAGCAGCTGAGCCCCAGGTGATGGGTAACCAATGAGCCTCAGCCATGTTTTAGGTAAGCCTGTAGGACATCTGTCATGGGGACCCCCCAAGTACCCGAGGGACCGGGGGAGGCAGGACCAGCCTTTCCTCTGGACTAGCTTCTTCCCAGGCCAAGTGGAATATCTGGGCAGCACATTTCCAAGAAAATGTACGTGTGATTCTAATCAGTGACTGTGGGAAGGAGACCTTGGCCCTTGTGTTCAAGGGCAAGGAGGGTCCTACAGGAAGGTCATTCTCTGGGCTACAGACATCTCCCAGAGAGGAATGCTCGTCCTGTCTGGTTATTAGAGGTCTGCTTTCTTTCCTTTCTTCCTTTTACTTTTCTTTCTTCCTTCCTTCTGTACATTCATTCATTCATTCTTTTTTTCAGCTTTAATGTATACCTTCAACATCCTCCCAAAGTAGGTAAAGGTGTGCTTATCATGTGCTGTTGTTTTGAGGTGAGAAAAGAATAATGACAGAAAACCCGAATAAACTTATTGCTGTTTTAGAATACAAGCCAAAATATTCCAAAGTTCAGGGAATATCCCCTATGTAAGCATCTTCTATTCTTTCCTTTAGAATTGATAAGAATTGTCTCCTCAGAGATCCTTCAGTCAGAAAGTGACACAGATAAGCTCTTACATCCAAGATTTTCTTTATAGGCCCAAGGGATTTGGTGACCAGGTAAAACAGAAGACTCTTTCCTATATACACCCACCTTCTGCTGACCTAGCAAACTGTCCTTTTCCCAAAGAACTGGATCAGGATTCAAAATATAAAGTCTGTAGCAAATTAGAGGGCAAAACATATTTGAAAGAAGGCAGGAGAAACAATGAAGAGTTGTATTTGTGGGAAAAGTACGTTTGCAGTTCAGCTGATAGGTCAAACCATAGAAACATCCACACCTGAAACAGCAGCCTCCCAGAATGTAGGGGGCTGAAGGCAGCCCCCAGCGGTGCCTGGAGATGTCTTCTCAAGAAGGCAACTCTGTCAGCGAAGCCTGTACAGGGTGGCCTCCCAGGACAGCGCCCAGGAAGCAGACCTCACCAGGCCCAGCCCAGAAGTTTCTCATTTGATTCCCAAGTCCGAGAGCAGACATGGGTTTAAGTTTCCAAATTAATTCATACTTTCTGAGAAATGAAATATGAAATCAAACGAAGCACTTCTAAAAAGAGCCAGCTCTTGCCCTCAGATCCACATCCCCTTCTTCCGTGTAACCAGGTTTTTTGGCAGAAGTATCAACCCTTTTAGGCTACTTTCTGGTCTACCTGAGGACACCATCAGTAAATTGCTATTTTTCTAAAGTTCTTTTAAAAGCCTGGTTTACAGAAACAACAAGGAATCTGTAGTTGAATTTGGAGGAGTTCCAAATCTCCAGAGGATGCGTGTCAGCCCTCTCCCTGCACCTTGGGGAAAGAATAAAAAGTTGCCATAATTGAGCTTAATTTAGTGTGAATTCATCTTTCTTGCCAACAGCTGTGCATACCTTGTGGAAACACGGTGTTCATCTATTCCTTCCTTTTCTTCTGGACAAACTGGCCAGGCCTGGCTACGAATTGTCCCTTAGGAATGGGCCTCTTGGTTCAAGAGAGTGAAATAAGGCTCACAGCCCAGTATTCTTTTTTGAATTTTTCACGAACATCGATATCGCTCCTCTTTTTGTTTTGGGGTCAGCACCCTGCCAGGGATCGTCGCAAAGTTCTCTCCCAAGTAGACCAGCTTGTGCTCTCAGGGGAATAACATCATCTGCCTGCTTTGCTTTGTTTTTCCTTTTATAGTAAATACCATCCTGAAGATGTAAGTCAGCTCCAAAGCCCAGATTGGCTGTCCCTCCAGGCAGGGATCTCCGACTAATCTCAGGCTGAAGCAGGAGTGGGATCAGCTCTCGATGAGAAAGTCACGAACAGAAGTAGGAAACAACAGGAATAGGAGTTTCCCCCTTAACATGCCCCGTGGAGGCTACTGGTTATACATTGTTGGCCCAGATATGCTGATTGGGGTTTCTAAATTCAGTTGTCCTCGTTGTTGGCAGAAACATCACTGTGACTTATCCAGGGGAAAGAGTCATGATTCCCAGGTTGCTCCTCAATCATAATACCCTCCTTTCCCTCAGCTCTCTTGCCTCTTCTCTCATGCAAAGCCTTCAGGTGGCCCAGAGGAGGAAAAAAGACATTCCCCTAATTTCCTACAAGGAAGAGAAACCTAGACGAGCAGAAGTCTGTTGGTTGGGGAAACACATCTACCCCTCATAGCAGCATCATGTTCTCAGAAATAATGTAGAGACATGACATCCAAAGATTTCTCAAAAGGCCAGCGCTGTCAACAGGTGGTGGGGCGGTGTTCTATGGAAACAGACAGAAGGGAAGAAAGACTGGTTCATAGGTTTTACTTTAGTTCTTATGAAGTCAGTTGGCTTTTAAGCACCTGCTGAGAGAGGCTTGGACTGGTTTACTGGGGAGACAGAGAAGAAAGAGATGGGACCTGCCTCATGGGAGGACTGGACGCAGGTGCACAGCTATGAAATTGTCTTGTCTTTGGAGACTTGCCTTGGGTCTGGGTAGGCACCCAGATGGGTGCCCATCAAGGAGGGCCCTGATGCCAAGTCGAGAGACGTCAAGGAAAGTTCCTGAGGAGGAGAGGCCTGGACCTGGGTCTTGGAGCCTGATTACATGTTAGCCAAATACATAAGGTGAGGGAAGGCCATTCTGTGCAGAGGGAAAAGGATGCAAGAAAAGCATGGTGATGAGACAGATCAACCAAGTATCTCCTATAGCCTGAAGGTCAAAGGACATGGGAAGGAGTCTGAAGAGGGGAAAGCCAGGCTTTGCGAAAAGTTTGGCATTCATAGAAGCTGTCAAGGGCATTTAGTAGCAGAATGGCCTGCTTACCTTTGCTCCTGAGAAATCAGACCCTAGTGGAAGTCGGGGAGGGGGGCATAGGAAGGGAGGAGGAGCAGGGGATTCTGGTTTGGGAAACCAGCTGAGGGGTGGGGGCTATTTAGTAATGGAGGAGGAAAAAGAGGTGGGACCAAGGCAAGCAGCAGTGAGAATGGAGTCCAAGGAGTGTGTGGGCATGGTCTTTGTGCAAGAGAACTGAGACAGCTTGGAATTGAATGTGTCCTCTTGAAAGTAGACCGTGCAGGAGCGGGAGGAATTTAGTACGATGCCCAGGTTCCTGCCAGGGCAGCTGGATAGCCCGCAGTGTCCTCTATAGCAAAGAGAACAGAGAAGAAACAGATCCTGGGCCAGCGTGGGGCCTGGTGAGTCTGGAAACCAGTAGGACACTCCGAGGAGCTGAGCCAGACCTCAGTGTGCCATGTTCTTCCCTGGCTGGTCTCCCTAAGTGCCAGCTTCTCTCCCCACCTGCACCGGTTAGCACTCTGGCTGCCTGTGGGGAAGCTGGTGTGGAGACTCCTCTCCAGATTTCTGGCTAGTAAGGCCCATAGATTTGGGCTCCTAAGAGTGACAAGCTCCATGACTTTCTCGTCACAGCTGTCAGTGGGAGAGGGATGGAGGTCGGGGGCTGTTTCTCTTGACATGAGCTTCAGCCTCACCATCAGGAGTGGACTTTGA